TTTCATTATTACCTGTAGAGGGGTCATCACTGTTGTCTCTATTGTGTATATTTACTTTGTGCCGGGAGATGATAACACAACACCAATTGAAGGGAGTCGTAGAAAATGGACTTCGTATAATAAAGAGTGATTAAAAGCGATATTAAAATTGAAATTGAGTTGAAAGTCACGTACATTGATTATTTGATTGTTTGTTCCTTCAAAGAGTGGGATTTATCAATAAGTTTGAATGATCAGAAAAGTGGTTGAATTGATGTTGGTTAATTATTGTCAATTAAATCATTTCCTATCCTATCTCTAATGAAAATTGTGGTCACAATCTTATTGTCTATGATCTTTAAAACTATTGAATAGAATGTGAAAGATGAGAAAATACTTATTGTCATTTTATGTTTTGTTTTTATTTTGTTTTATTTTATTTGTTTGTTTTTCAGACTGTAGCTAGTCGCTACACATAAAACATGCCTAAGCTAGATCAAAAAGCTGAAATAATTTCGGATTTGTTTTAATATACATTTAAGTACTCTCTGTTTTATGTTATGATTTAATATTTCTAATTTTATTGCAAAACTTACCAATATTCATGAATTTGATTTACTCGAAGTATTTTGTAAAGTTCATCTTACACTCTGACCCCTGTATACTCACAATGTCCCACCCTCAGCACCTTACATGGCCCAATATCAGGGGCGGATATATGTGGTGCCCCCCCCCCCTCCTCACACCAGGAAACCACAATTTGACATTCCTCCGGTCAGCATTAAAAGTCACTTAGAGATTGTTAAGCAAAACCCCCCCCCCCCCCCCCCCCCCCCTCCTATCTGCAGCAGTTTTTGACCCAAAAAGGCACCTGATACAAATTTTGAGTAAGAGATCAGCATCGGTAAATGGGATAACCCTAACACCCCTCCCCTCCCCCGTTATATTACTTATCTTACTTGATATGTAATATCCAGAACTGAAGGGGTTCGAAAGTAATGTAGTTAGAAGCATGAGAGAATATTCATAATTTTTTCATTTATCTGCAATATTTTGTTATAACTTATAAAATCAACCCCTTGCACAACCGGCAGCATCCCGTGTTATAATTATCGACGATGCCAATAGAATGATGACAATACATCCATATGGAGTAAGAATAAACTGGTAATCCTAATAAAAGATATACTGAAATGGAAAATCCAGGCATCCCTGCAAACTAGCCTGGGCTATGTTTGGCTGTACTACCTGCATGACCAGAATTCGAAATGGAGATTGGCGAAGCAGAAGATCAAATCCAGAGCAATAAGAATTTCTTGAAATTAAATCATTCTTAACGAGAATAACCCTCCAGCAACAGATCTAGATATCGCTTTGATGCGGGAGAGAGATAGAGAGAGAGAGAGAGAGAGAGGAGGGTGGGGGTAAAAAAAGGGAGAAAGAGAGTGGTAAAAAAAAGAGGGAGGAGGGGGAGATATATAGTGAATTATGAAAAATAGGGAGAGAGGGGAGAGCGAGAAGAAAGGAGAAAGAGAGAGAGAGGGAGAGGGAGAGAAGTAAAGAGAGGAGGAGAGGGAGGTCAGAAAAGGAAAGAATTTGTATGCGTCAAGGTAGAAAAGGAGAGATGAGTAAAAAAAAAAAAATTAAAAAAAAAAGAGAGAGAGAGAGGGGGAGGGAGGGAAGATAAAGAAAGAGATGGAGAGAGAGAGAGAGAGAGAGAGAGAGAGAGAGAGAGAGAGAGAATGAGAGAGAGAAATGAGGAAAAAGACGGGATTTTGATTGAAATTTGGAAACACATGTAAATTATCGCGATGTTTCAATTATTCATCGGTTAAGATTTAGCCGTGAGGTCACGAATAAGATGGGTCTCTCTGAAGAAGAAAAAATTACAAGAGGAGAAAAGAAATATAAAAACAAATCCGAGCTATTCCGGATAACTATAGCTCCAATCTTTCAGCTGTTCAAAACTTAAGTGCTTGGATGCCGCAACTATTATTACCCCTTGTTCATGTAAGAGCATTTTCAGTAATGTTGGAGGCTGAATAGCGAAGTGCCACAGGCTGTCTCTCGATCGCCATGTAAATTGGAGGAGAGAGAGATAAGATAATCGGCAAATTGACAAATCGAGCCTTCATATACGTTTGTGTAAGAGATAACTGGGAGCAGAGACTTTGAGCAGAGACTTTGCTTTGGTGCGAGGGGTGGGGAAAATCCTCAGGCCCCCAGCGACAATCAGCAACATTTGAGCGAATAATTGCGAAAATGTTTGCGAAAGTCAGTTGGCGAAAATTAGTAACTATTGGCCAATCCTTGTCACTATTTGTGAATGTTTGGGACCTTTTGCTAACTCCTGGTACTCATTGGGTCGATTTTTATATAGGAATCGTATGGTCACGTGGTCGCTAGCATTGGCGAATCAAAAAGAACTTCAGCGACACCGCCTTACAACCGTTTACAAAGGCTTACGACTATTTTGCAAACGCTTGCAACTGTTTGTGGAAAATAAATTCGCAAAGAAAGACTGTTTGCGAACTTTCTTGCAACCTTTTACAAACTTTTTGCAACCTTTACGAACCCTGGCGAAACCCTAAATTCACTTCGTTCGAACAAAACGAAATTTGAGGGATCATTCAAGTCTGTAAATGTGAACGAACGGCATCTGAATCTCAGAAATGTTGGCAATGTAATTGTCACTTTTGACAGGGTAATCGGATAAATAAATGACTGAATCAATTAGTTCACAAAATTATGATAGAGCATGTGCTTTTTCATTTATTTGCAATGTTGTTGTCACGAATGTCAACTTTTTCTGGTCTTGAATTTGAATGACATCACACTTCGTGCTGCCAAATATAGTTATAATCGTTGTGTCAAATTGTGCTGCCGTCGGGGAAAATGAAACCGGAAGGAAAAAATGGGAGGGAAAGAAAAAGAAGAAAAAAGAAAATGAAAGAAAAGAAAGGAAAGAGAAGAGTTGAAAGAAAGAGACAAGAGAAGAAAGGAAAAGAATGAAAAGAAAGAAAAGAAAGAAAAGAAACAAAGAAACGAAATGTTATGACACGTGGAAGGAGGAGGAGAAATCAAACGAGAGGCTGGGAATAGGGTATAATATTATTGCAAGAGAAAGCCTTATAGAGCGCCTGGGATAGTTATTAAAGTTCAAGAAAAAAAAAGAGGGGTAGAGAAAAGAAGAGCAAAGGTGAAAGGAAGGAGACAATATTCAGAGATATACGGATTAAATAGAGAGAAAGTAATAGAAAGAAAGTAATAGAAAGAAAGAAAGAAAGAAAGAAAGGAGGAAAGATAGGTTTAAAAATATTTTGCTCCCGAAAATTTGAAAATCGCGCCGGCCGAAAAGTCGCTCAGTGGGGGGGGGGGCAAGCGGACACTTTTTTTTCTTTTTTTGGGAGGTCAAAAAAAATCGCAACGACTCAGCCAGCCGAAAAGTCGCTCAGTGGGGGGGGGGGGGGGGGGGGGGGGGGGGGGGGGGGGGGGGGGGGTAAGCGGACACATTTTTTTTTTTTTTGGTCTCGAAATTTCATAATATGACATTTTTTGGCGTTGGCGGGGGGGGGGGTAAGGTCACCTTATTTAGGTTAGCCGTGGGTATATATATTTTTTATTTTTTATTTTTTTAAATAATTAAAAAAAAAAAAAAAAAAAAAAAACCAAAGGGGGGGGGGGGGGGGGGGGGGGGGGTTTTAGGTTTTAGGGGGGTTTACATACATAAAAATACCAAAGGGGGGGGGTTTGAACCCCCAAACCCCCCCCCCCTGCGTATGCCCCTGCTAGAGATAAAGCAGAAGAGTCATCCAGTGATGGAAGGGTGAGAAATAAAAGAAATAGATACATTTATAGGTTCACTCAAATGATTTCATTGCCATAATTTTTCCGATGTGCGCACTTCAAAGTAAGTTCTTTACTATTCATTAGTGTACATCATTCCTGTAGTGAAAGAGTGTATTTGTCCTATGTAAATCAATAACATGAATTGATTTTTCTATCCCAAGTCAATAACATGAATTGAAATTAATGTCCCCTGTCTCCTCCTACACAACGAAAGAATTCATAGCAAACATCAAAACTACACTCCCCCGATAAAATCTCATACTCTATAGACAAACAAGGAAAACTTGGAGGACATTGACTTTTCATATATCCAATCTTTCCCATCCTCATTCTTTATCAAAAACTTCAAAGTATTGATACTGGTTGTCAATTCTTTAAACAAATAACCGATTTATTTTTCCATATGAAATATATTTCTCTTTTGACATGAATGTACATGGTGATTATGATAAAAAGCACATGATTATGTGTTCTGCACAATACAAATCGTTTTTTCCTCGATCACGTTATTATTATATTACTTGTTACTCATATGAATATGATTTTTTAAACAAGAAATGGTGTATTTCATTATGGCAAGATAACCCCTATTTTTTTTAATATAAACCAATGTGTGAAAGAAGTACAGTGAATTAAAAAAAAAAAATCTGGAGAAGGCTTTTGCAGCAAGTTTACACACTGGTTTTTCTACCAGTAAATTTGTCCAATAGACATTTTAAAATGAGAATCTGAGGTGTGTGTGGATTAAATTACATATCCTCTTGACATATGGTAACTTTATACTGCAATGCAACATAAGTTGAAAAGTACCTTCAACATAGTATTGTGTATCGCTTATTCAAGAGAATTAGACAGTTAATAAATGAAGAGACAAGTATACAAACAAAATTATTACAGTAAACTACATGTAATCTAGATGATCTCATTTTGATTCGGTAAAAGAAAAGTTTTTTAGCTGACATATCCTCTCACTTATTCATCTATTTGTTTGTTTAGTAATATTATCGATAGTACTGTAAATCTGAAAATATATTTATCATAATCTAGGGTCAATTATTGGTTGTGACATTTCTATCTGAAATCAAAGACTCACATTAAATGTTTTTAGAGATTATTATATTTCTTACATATTCTGTAGCTACTTGCTCCCTCTATATAGAAAACAATTCCCTGTGATCCTCTTTTTCTTATGATAATTGAGAGCTGAGTTGATGAGATAGCCACCTGTAAGTGACCACGCTGGATGGTCTAATCGCTCCTGGCCAAACTAGTATAGACAAGCTTTAATGTAGACAAAAAAGGGGGATAACTAAATACATTGAATTCTCACTTACATCACATCTAGGGATCATTAATACAAATATTACAAAACTGTTTGAAATATGGACAGCAGATTATGAACATCTTATACTGTAACTCACTAAATACTAACAAACGCTGAGGACACACGGGCACCTAAGCCCAAATTGAAAAAAATTCACATAAGGCTCATGGATACAGGCCCTAAAGATTATAATCCAGACCCCATACTAAGTTAGTGTGGAGTCCTGCTGTAAATCTGCTCAATTTTAAATATAAATATCTTGTTTTAGCTCAGCTTTACATTACTATTTTTGCAGCTGCCAAGGTATGTTCTGGTAAGTTGGTTCTTTTAAAGCAATCTACATTCTTTGGTTTGATACATTGGAGGTTTTGTACAGAGTGAATATTTGAGACGACATCTCATCTCAAAATCATTTTCAACTACTTTAAAACTATAAAATCTCACAAAATAAACTTTTGCTTATATGACAGCCATTTTTTAGGCCAGAAAACTTTAGCCAAAATGTCTAGTAGTGATAAATGTGAATGTGAGTGAATGATTTTTTGGTATGAAACTGTTAAGAATCTTGATCACTCACAAAATTCATGACGTTTCATGCATGCTAAACTTTCTGGCTTTAGAATTCACAAGTACATTTTAAACAGAGTCTACTCTAAGGAAGACTTGGAATACAAGTGAACAGTATACATAGGAAATTTGGAAAAGGTAAATGTACATGATGTAAAAAGTCATCACAAGGCACAATATTTTGAATACTTTTTTCCAGGAGTTGACGATTGTCAAGGAGAAAATAAGGTGTCACAGTTGAATGTGAGACACGTGTCAAGATGAGAGTTGATCTTGTTCTCTTCTATCTGAAGGTTGCACACAGGACACGGCACTGTCTTTGGTCCAACCTGCTCCACTGGTCTAACATCCTCATCCTCTGCAGTCAGGTTGATGACCCCACCCACACCGGTTACCCTGGAGACCGCTGCCGATGCCTTCTTGTCGCTCTCCCGTGCAGCCGTCTGCCAGGGATGCTCACAGAATGAGGACTGAGGAGGCGTTTGGCCAACTTTGCTCCCCCGGATTGTTTTCCCCTTTGATTTCCCCATAGAGGGGGCGTTACTCGACCAAATCGCCTGTTCCCTGTAATCTGGTTACCAGAACTTCCAGAAGACAGGTGGCTTAAATCTTTCCATATCCCAGTGGTGAATCCATTACTGGTTGGCTTGGCAACCACATCCTCCTCATCATCGCTATCTCCATGGATATAGATATCCCCTCGCTCACTTGCTGGATTTCGGTGGAGTGCTGGACTGTTTTCCTTATTTGAACCAGCACTCGTTCCCTAGTCAATTCATCCTCAACAAGAATCGCATCGTTATCATCCTCAATGCTATTTTCATTAGAATATCTGGGACACTTTGATGATCTGTTCATTGCTTCATCATCATCAGAATCACTATCGAAGATGGCTTGCAAATCCGCAAGTCTGGCTCTTTTCTTCTTGTTTCCCTCACTTGATCCCCTAGCTATCCCCTCTCGAGTCCTTACTACCTGATCGTAACCTAAAGGAGTCCTTTCTCCATCAACTCTCCTTGTTGATGATTGTGTCTTTTTGCCTGATGATGAAGAGGGCTTGTTCTGTTCCCTACTATGTCCTATGCTATCTGTCCCAATCGAACTTTTGCTAAAAGACGACGATACGCCTGGATTCTTTGCAGCATGAACCCCTTCTTTCCTTCCCACAGCAGATACAACTGGTATAAACCTTCCAGTCCTACTGTGAACAGTAGAATCTGATTCCTTTCCCTTTGACGATGATTCGCCAGGATACTTTGCGGCATGATCCCCTTCTTTTCTTCCCACAGCAGACACAACTGGTATAAACCTTCCAGTCCTACTGGGAACAGTAGAATCTGATTGCTTTCCCTTAGTCGTTTGTCCAGACTCGCGTGCTTTCCCGCCAGATGTATCAGAGTTATCAGTATCATTCACAACACGACCACTAGCCGTTGCCACAACGGGAGTGAATCTGGGCTTCTTTTGAAAACCACCTACCGATGTAGATGTGTTGGTGCGATGTGGAGGGCCAGAGTTATTTGTTGATGCGTTTGTTTTTTTGGCAGACTCATCGGACCCCTTCTTAGTAAAGAAAGAAGATATATCTTTACTGTCTGACGATATCTTCCGCTCTTTATTCTGTCCTCCAAGTTTGTCACTTGTGGCGAAACTGGATGCAGAGCCTGATGAGGAAATTGAAGTTGGGAGTCTTGGTAGAGGAATTGCTTTTGAGGATGATGATGATGATGATGCTGGAGGAGTTGATGTTGCAGGCCTTCCAAGGGACTGCCCTTTTCCAGAGAAAGCGATAAAATTCCTGATGTCTGTTCCTTGCTTCCCTGGCTCATCTGTCATAAATACAAAGATAGAAAAAAGGGCCTTAACACATTTTGGAAAGAAACTTAGACATCCCTTTGAATTCATTTGCATTTAAATTTTATGCCGTTATGACAGATTTTCTTGTCCTCTTTGAGTAACAAAGATCATAGTTTAATAGATAAAGTACCATTTCAAGCCTTCTGCTTTTTTATTTTCAATAACTCACTGGACAATTATTCCAATTGATTGATTGGTTAATTCACACAACATCTAAAAAAGCAAGTCCATGTGAAGCATACAGGAGATCCTACATATCTTAGTCCAGAGGAATTAGGTGATATAGCATTTATGTCTTACACAAGGGCTTGTAATACACTGACTTAAACCTGTGACCTTCAAATTTCAACTCTTTTAATTGAGCCAGAAAATTGTCTGTATTCTATGGTGTACATAAAATGTGTACATATGCACACACCAACAACAAAAAGAGTAAACATACAAAATAAAAATATCAAACTCAATGGACAGAAATTGAGAAAGCCAGTGCTCCTGAATCTGAGGTACCCTTCGACCATCGTACCTTTGATATTGGTAGGCTCCTTGCTTACTTCTCCTTCTTGACCCTTCTTTCCTCCCTTCTTCTTCCCGTACCCCTCTGGCTCCTTGATCTTGGTGTAAGACCCTCCACAGGAGCGCTGATGTTCACCCCACCATGGGTCCCTGGGGGAGGGGACCCTGTTCATCGCTCGCTTCACGTAGCCAAAGTAGGGCTTCCGCTTCTGGCAAGGACCGTCGCAGCGCCACCAGTGTTGGCGGTAGGAATCCACCTCGTCATGGAAGGTGTGGTAGATCTGTAAAAAAGGAGCAACAAGGATCAATGCGTTTCCACATAAAAAAGAAATAATTTGTCACTGACACTGGCTAATCTGATACTTTTGAGAAATTTTAGGATCAATAAAGTATCTGGTATGGATTTTTGTAAAAAGAATTGAACTATGCCTGTGATATTTAAATTCTTTACTATGAATGTACATTTCATCTGTAAATGTAATTTAGCTTCCAGTCAAAGGTGATCTTGGGTAACTGCAGAAGGTATATATTTTAGCAGATCACTTTTGATCCAATGGTGATCCTACATAAGCATTAATATTTCTTTCAACAGCGCCATCTTGTGTTTAGAACAGTTTATTTTTTCACACTAGAATTTCTACAGAATAGTTATACATTACTTCTGTAAATAACTTTACCCAGAACATTTTGTAACTGGTTATACAGAAGACGGCACACTTACACTAATATGAGTACCAGTAGCTGTATTGATTCTATCCATATGTTTGCAAAATTCAGGTCCGTGGCCATCATGGTCCTACGAGAAAGAAGAAAAGATAATATTGTTCATTTCTATAAGAAATGTTACCAGTAAGATCATCACTGTCATCAGTGTCTCCATCATGATCATCACAAAGCTCCATCATCACAATGATCACAACCAACAACACCACCATCGGCACTCACTCCTGCAACAATTGCTCCAATTCCTTACACTTACCAAATTCTTCACTTCATCCCCGGACTCAACACTATACCTAACTCTATCCTTACACCTAATCTTAAGACCACATTGCAACCCTACTTCTAACCCTGTACCTTTGAGGAAATAAAACCTGGAGCAATTGTCACTTGAAAAAATGTTGGGTCATCCCACCATCACAATTACCACCACTATCATCATCACCACCATCATCATCAACATCATTGATTATTGAACAAGTATCGCTGCCATCAGTACACATACAATCTGATTTTTTAAGAAGATGAAAACTTTGGGTTTTTTCTTTTGTTTCCATTACCTTGTTATTTGTGTGACAAACAGATAGGCATGGATCATCTCGTGCTAGAAAGAAAAGACATAAAATTAAAAGTAATCAGGCAATCTTCACATTTTGAATTACATCAATAGAATGTGTGGATTTTATTTTATTTATTGTCCTGATTCTTATCGACAAATTTGTCTTCAAGACTTTAGAACAAGACAGAAGATAATGTATACATAATTTTCTTTAGAACATCAATTGAAATTGATGGTATTGATCCCCTTAAAAATAAGTAGAATCACAATTCTCTCTTGTTGAATCATTTACAACATATTCTCACTTGTATCCATTCATTATTTTGGTTGCTGAAGAAACAGCACAAGTTTCGGTGAAACTCAGTAAAAACTCTCATGGGAATGGGTCGAAAATTCAACATGTTTATAAAATAATGCTGCATAACCAAGAAAATAGGCTAGAAATGCAAGGCGCTCTACTTTGGTTTATTTCACTACATTGAAGAAAAAAAATGATACATTAATTCAATTCAATTCAATTCAAATGAACATTTATTTTCTTCCAAACAATACAATAATGGCATATTAGTTACTCAAAGTCAGGGTACAATTGTCTTACCAATAAAGTTTCAACAAGATCCTTTCTTGGTCTGAGTTTTAACAAAGGCTGACTGAGACGAACGGAGCAGAGACCACCATAGCCTTCATAGCAGCATACTCCAGCACATCTGTGTCGTCACATCAAAACAAAATTTATCAGTTGTACATTTCTTCCCTTTCTTGAATATGGTGGGTACATTGATTTTAACAAATTTTCCATAAACATTTAGTCATTTGCGGTTCTCACAAAAATGCATAATATCCTGTACAAATTGTGGTATTAAAATGACATTCTATTGAATGCATGGTATCTGCATGATGTTACCTTGGCATAAAGTAGAGTGAAAAAAATCTGAGCATGGTTCTATTTTTTTACAGGAGAAATTGTCCACAAAAAAAAAATCAGAAAGACTTATGAGTTTAAGAATGATAAGGTAAAAATCCTAAAACCAAAAGAGAAAAAAAGGGATTTCCCTACAATAATAAAAAAATTATTGTTTATCTCAATTAACAATTTCGGCATCAAATGACAAAATCCAAGCAAGCAATTTATGATGAGACATGATTTTCAAATAACTGTAGGAGACTTTATGGTTGATTGATACACATAATTTGTAACAGACAAGTTTCACAACTTAATAGTTTTGCAAAATGAACAACCAGTTTTGCGGAAAGAGTAACTCACAAGGTCATCCTAGGACTCCATCTGACCTCTACCCCTGCCAGCCGACCCCAGAAGAAACTGATCGTTGAACTGTAAGAACAGGGCTCTCACGTCTGGGATGGGGTCGATGAGCTCCCATCTCTGATCTACGATGCCAATGGGTTTGATTCCTGATGTGCGCCTGTCGGTGGATGATACTGGCTGAACGTCAGCTACATTGTATAAAGAGCGATGAATAAATCATAAGAATTCCTCACATCTAACTTGGTTCTCTATCTTTCAATGGGCCTGAGCCTGGGGAGTGACAATTTGTTTAGTTTTTGTGATCACTTTATCTTTCTTTTTCCTCCATTTATCATTGCCTTACAATTTCAATGGACCAATAAATGCAAGGAAGTTAAGAACAAACTAGTAAATACTTATGAATGAAGTCAGCAATTAAATTGTTGGCCCTTCTTCTACTTCTTCCTATTTCTATTTGTTCTATCTCTCTCTCTCTCTCTCTGTATCTCCGCTTTTTCCTTTAAAATACCAATGCAGAGTTGCATGTTACACTTTGAAAGAAGACTGAATTATACAGACAAATTAATGATTATGATATATACACTCTCTCACCTATCTCTGAAGCTGTTTCACTATCAAATTCTAACTGCATTAGACGGGCCAATTCTGCATCTGATGTTGCATCCATAGTGCTATGTGGTTCTAGTAGACTTCACATGAAATGCTGTTTTACCGTGGACTCGGGAAAATTATTCCTTTAGGATATTACCTGTGATTGGACAAAAAGAAAAGGAAGTGTCAGGCATTTTGAAAGTAAGATACGGCCATATATTCACCTGACTTCATTTACATGGTCTACATATATTTACTTTGATTGCTTGCAATGCAACATGCATCCCTTACTCAAAGCAAATTGGCAATTTGTCTTATGAAGTCTGTCTCAATCGTCTCTGAATAGATTAAATCACAAGACATTTTTAAACAGAAACTGTCAAAAACAACTAAAATTACATTTTATTCCAAAGTTTGGAGACTTTTGGTGGGACCTTCATACCACCAACTTTTGACAGGAGACCCTATGGCCGGCTTCTGTCTCTTAAGAGAGGAGCCGATCCGGATCCTACCAAAATCAGTGGGTAACGAAACGGGAACGAAAGAGACAGAAATTTTCGCTCCAGCTAGCACAATGCAATGCAAGCCTATTAAAAAAAATGTGGACAATGTGCAAACAGGACAGTTTTGAAGAAACAAAGGTTGAAACTTTAAGAGAATAAGTTGTAGATCTACTTGTAATTGTATTAATGTAACGCTAACGAATGGTGATTCGCCTTTCAATGCTTTTACTTTTTAGTTTGACCTTCTTTGAATTGAGAAAAAGATTTACACTCTTCTTTTCAAATACACAGGAAATAAGGTTAAAATATAATATGCCTGAGAGAAGAACTAGATCTACCTGTAATACGTATGAATATGATATTTCAAAATAACAGTAGATCGGTCTAATAACAATTTAAAATTTAAAATCTCTACTCTAAAATCTAGTGATTTTGCAACGTGGAATCAAGCGTGTGGGACCGAAGTAAAGTGATTTGTCAGACGTTCCCAGGCCAAAGGGTAATAATATAACGATTTATCATGTAAACGTATGCTATAAATTAGATAAAAACGAACAATTTATTTTGTCTTTAATTCATATCACCACCTACCTGGCTTATTAATTCTCTCCTCTGTCCATTCGACGACATATTCAAACTTTTCCTCTCTTCAATGGTAGCCTCTAATCGGGCACATCTACAAGGAGGTCAATGAATATGCATATCAGTGACGTCGTGTCAATTCATGAATATTGATGTTCTTGACTGCGCGCGTACGATCGTACGTACGTACAGAATTGGGGTCATGGAAGGTAATACGTGCAACACAGTGGTGCAGCAAAATCAGGGCAAAATCTTACCATTATACTGTTGTATTGTCCGTGATTATGAGGTAGAAGTGTTTGAGTGTTAAGTAAAATTATTTAATGTGGATTTTGATACATTTTTGATACAGTTTATACAAAATTGGCGATTCTTTTGATCGTTTTTTAACTCCTGCAAAAAACACGTGACCAACTCGGTCGTCGGCTAACCACCTCCCTGTAGATGTGCCCGCCTACCTCTACATGTGCCCGATCGAGATAGGGATCGAGTTAGTGTAATAAAATAGTATTCTATATTCAATATCCGAGAGATAACGGATGTAACATTAAAGCTCCCTTTATTTGAGTTTACAACTATCAATTCAACATCTTTGCATTGATTTTCTTTGAGGTAAACGTGTTTAACTACATCACCTCCCTGTAGATGTGCCCGCCTCCCGCTACATGTGCCCGAGATAGGGGATAATATGTAGTAAGGCATACAACTTAGTGTTGTATATTGAATTTCCGACATGTCATGAATATAATAAAGCTTCCTAAGATAATTTTCATAAATATCAATTTATCCACTTTTCATTGATTTTCGTTGGATTTTACGTGTTTTAAGTTATCATAACATTCACCTCCCTGTAGATGTGCCCGCCTCCCGCTACATGTGCCCGAGATAGGGGAAATGTCGGTATAGGCATACAACTAGTGTTGTATATTGAATTTCCGTCATGTCATGGATATAATAAAGCTTCCTAAGATACAAATGAGTTTCATAAATATCAATTTATCTTCTTTTCATTGATTTTCGTTGGATTTTACGTGCTTTAAGTTATCATAACATGCACCTCCCTGTAGATGTGCCCGCCTCCCGCTACATGTGCCCAAGATACTGGTAGATATATGTAGCCAGACATTCAACTAATGTTGTGTTTTGAATATCCGACATGTTAAGTATAAAATAGAGCTTCTAATATAATTATGATTGAGTTTCACAAATATCAATTTATCTTCTTTTCATGGATTTTCTTTGGATTCTACGTGTTTTACGTTGTCAAAAAATCACCTCCCTGTAGATGTGCCCGCTTACCGCTACATAATGTACCCGAGATAATGGTGCATGTAGCCAGACATTCAACTGATATATATATATATATATATATATATAATATATATATATATTATATATAGATATATATATATCTATGCGTATCTTTCTTGCTCCCTCGACGTGGCGACTCCACCAAACATACCCCCTCTTTCTTACTCACCCCCCTTTCTCTCAGGCTCTTACCCCCCCCCCCCCCCCCTCTCTCTCACTCTCACTTTCATCCCCTTTTGTTGTCTTTTCTCTTTTTTCTTCTTCTTTTGCTCCTTTTCTTCCTTTTCTTGCTTTTCCTTTCTTTCCTATCCTTTCTATTTTCTCTTTCTTTCTCCTCTTCTCTTTCCTTCTTTGATAATTATATAAAAACATCCCCATAATCTAGCTAATATATTTCCCCCGCTCCAGTGGTGACAAAAAAAGGAAACATAACACACACGTAATCCTATCGTAATTTGTCCCCCTTGTGTGAAATATTCCCCCCCCCCCCTCAACTGATTGGCTAATCTTTGGTGACAAGACGATATATTTTACAAGGAAACCACCTCGACCAGGAACAAAGAAAAAAAAAGACAGATTTAGAACGTGACAGTAAGACAATATATATGATTACCAACCTCTCCTACGAGATGACCCCGACAATAAGACACTATTTCAAACTCGTGGGAGACAGTGAGCATAGGATGACAATATATAATGCTTTTTCACAAAAACAAAGCAAAAAACACAACAATATATTCCTGTTCTCAATGTGTATGTTGAATTGACAGGTGATATGTATATTATGATGTGTTTGTTCTGTAATTATCTATCTTGTTTCATGACAACTTACATCAGCCTTAATTTTCGTTCTATTTGTTCCCTTTGTTGTATTTTCTTTCTTTTTATTATGGTTTGGTTATTGAAATTAATTGATTATCTATATTTCGTGTGTGAACCTTTAGGCATGTATATATCGACTCGAATAACTATTACATGTATTTTCTGTGTTTGCTTTGAATTTACCATGTCTCGAATTAATTAATCAATGTTTATTTTTTATTGAACCTGCATTCAAATTTATGTTTACATTCCGTATTTTTCATGTGTTTGTTCTGCGTTTATCATTATATCAGGCCCCCTTGTTGCTACAAGGGCTAGATATCCCACCCCAAAATAAAAACGAAGACAAATTTCTCACGGCATTTTTTACTTTAATTGTGTTGCACTAAAAATACCTTATCAGACCTCCTTAGCCATCACCATCACCCTCACCCCAACAAAAAAGACAATAATGTTTGATTCGTATTTGGATTGCATTATCTCTTTGTACGATACATGACGCGAAAACCGTCAAGGTCCGAAAGTGTTCAAGCCCCCTATCCCTCAAAGTCTCAAACAAATCACAATTCTGAAGTGCCCCCCCCCCCCCCCACCTCTCACCCCTCTCCGGACAGTAAGTAGGCTCGTGGTCCGGCCCAACCCCGCGTGTCTTTCTTGCTCCCTCGACGAGACAACTCCACCCAACAACCCCCTCTCTCGTTTACTCCAACCCCTCCTCTATCAGGCTCTTACCTCCCCTTGTTTCCTTTTTCTCTTTTTGTTTTCTTCTTCCCTTTTCCTTATTTTCTTTTCTTTCTTTTCTTTTCTTTCCTCTCCTCCCTCTTTTTCTCTTTCCTTTCTTTTCCCTTTTTTCTCCTTTCTTTCCTTTCTTTTCCTTTTCTTTTTTCTTTTCTTTTCTTTCCCTCTCTTTCTTCCCCTCCCCCTTATCTCTTTTTTCCCGACGGCAGCGCAATTTTACCGACAATATCCTGACAGGTGGGGGGGGGGTGTCGCACCCCCACACCCCCCTCTTTGGAGACGCCCCTGCTCGTATGCACTGTTTCGTTCTTGAAACACTGTTATATATATTTACACAAACAAATTATCTTACAGAAAACATTAACATACCCAAAGAAAGTAGTCCGTCAAATGAATCATTATCAAACAAATAAATTACCCAAAATATACTGAGTAATAATCAACAATCACATTAAAGGATACTGATTTTAAATACAGGCCTCTACACTGTTAAACAAAGTTAAAAGGTAAGTGTTACCAGGCGCGGATCCAGGGAGGGCCGAGCGGGCCTTGCCCCCCCCCCCCCGCCAAAAAAAAAAGAAGGAGAGAGAGAGAGAAGGAAAAGAAGGGAAAGGGAAAAAAAGAAGAGGAAGAAGAAAAGAAAAGAGGGAAGAAGGAGATCGGGGGGGGGGAGCTTGCCTCCCAGGCTGTTGCCCCCCCCCCCCAATCAAAAAATAAAAGAGAAGGAAGGAAAGGAAATGAAAAGAGGAGATAAAGGGAAGGAAAAAAAGAGGAAGAAGAAAAGAAAAGAAGGGGGATATCAGTTGCAATTTTCCCGCCAACAAGTTGTGGATTGGGGGGGGGGAGGGGGAAAAGGCCCTTGCCCCCCCCCCCCCGTCCCCGCTAAAAAAAGAGAGAAGGAATGAAAAGGAAAAGAGGAGAGCTAAAAGGGAACAAAAAAGAGGAAGAAGAAAAGAAAAGGGAGAAAAGAAGGGGAGATCAGTTGCGGTTAATCCCGCCAACAATAATTATGTGGAACGGGGTGGGGGTCAAAATGACCTTGCCCCCACCCCCATCAAACCTAAAAGTGAGAGGGAAGGAAGGGAAGGGAAATGGAAAGAGGAGAGAAAGGGAAAGAAAAAAAAAAGAGAATGAAGAAAGGTAAGGGATATCAGTTGCAATTCCAACAAGGTTTAGATCAGTGGGGGGGGGGGGGGCTTTGGGGAAATAAATTCAAACGTGATTTATTTCTAATTCCATAACGGTTGTTTACAAATAATGGTGAAATGACATCCTTTACATTCATGTCGGAAATTCAATTTACAACAGTAGTTGTATGCCTATTTTCTACA